TCTTTCTTAGTTTTCTAGACCTGCTTGGTCAGAAGCAAGAACACTGGACAGTTTCAGCATGCTGAATTCTTAGGGGTTCCCTGATATGGTTTCTACGTTGAGATTGGGAGTGTAATTCCATACAGAAACAATCTTGCTCGGAAGCTAGCTGTAAATGCTGATCTTAAGCAATGTTGTCTTATATGCTGTTCTTAAGGACTTCCTCAGATACTGTATCAGGAAGAAATGTGCAGACTTGGAGGTCGCTTGCCCTAGCACATACACACCACATCATCTTTGAGTCCGCAAAGTCTCCTTTGTGGAGCCAGCTGAAGGTATGGCCAGTAGCTGATAAAGCAGCAGCTGCAGCACACTGTTTTGCAGTGATCATAAACAGCTTTGTGTTTGTTTCGCCAAGGATATTGTGTGTGTTTGGCTGAAGTGACTTGACATTTGTGCACTTTTTAGTACATCTTCTTTTTTAAAGCTAGATAATAATGGTCAAAACCTCTGGTCATTTCCGCACCTTGTCTGAGCCCTTGCTGAACTCCTGTATGATGCATCCTCTTTACCCTGTTTCGTGGTGTTTAAATTATAAGCTCTTTACTGTCTGTCTATTGCTTTGAATAGTGCTGAGCACGGCAGGATGCTGTTCTTGGTTGGCATCTTATTTTCTACCATAATACAATTGATATTGCAAAGCATGGAGCTGCTTGATCCGAGAAGAATCACTCCTCCCTGGGGACTTCTGAACTGCATTTCCAAATCTTTAGGCATAAAACTGGATTTAATCCTGAAGATCTCTCACCTCTCAAATTACCAGATGGAATTAAAAGCTTTTCAGGCTTTTAGTAGGAAATATGCTGGACAGAAAATATGAAGCTTAGGGGACAAGGCAGCTTTTTATGTAAATTTGGAGCATCTATGTGTTTAAACAGTAGCAACTCAAATATTGGAACAAGTAGGATATGACAAGACCTGGTCACTCCACAAACAGTTTAATTTTGACATAATTTGATGTAGTACATCCATCCTTGTGAAGTGTTTGGCTTGAATGACTTGTCATCTGTGAGACTAACTCTGGAAGCTAGTTCAACTCCCCAAAATCCAGTATTCACCCCTTTATGTGTACTGACCCTACAAGAACCTCTCTATATTGCAATCACTGTCCTCTGTCTGCCTGCCCTTTTTTTGGTGCAAAGCAAACCTTGGCGTATGTAGCAGATTGCGGTTTCTCTTCCAGCTCCTCCAAACAGAGTTTTCCATTTGGCATCGTTTGTTCCCCCATGCAGTGCTGCTCACACGTGTATGTTCTAGCCTGGTTGTGTCTCAGCTGGTGCCAGCTCTCGCTTTTGTGTGGTCTCAGCTCCTCGGCTCACGTTCCATTTGCACTACTCAGCTTTTTGCTTCCTTTCACTTGATCTGAATGATGGAGGCACTGAGACGGACAAAAAAGGAGCTTTCTGCTCTGCTCGTGGGCTTGGCTTCCCCTATTGAGGCACCACATGCAAAGAAAATGTTGCTGAGTTTGTGCGGATAAATGCTGTGGAGTGATCTCCATGGACGTACACGGAAGAGTATGGACGACGCAACCGAGTTCCTTCCAGCCTCTATGAATAATGGGCAAGCTCATACTTCTTTCAAACTTGAACTTGGCTGTATTTGTCCCTTCTGTTTTTTCTGTGTCCCCAACAGGAACAGCGAAAGCCATGCAGCCTGGCAAACTTCATTCTGAATTGGTAGCTTGAAGTTTTAAACAACTGAGAATAGTCACAGAATCGGCAGCGTTGGGCAACTTTCTTGATAAACGGCACTAAAACTGTAATCGTGCTAGACTGAATTAGCAACTGTAAGTTGGAACGAGCTGGGTGAATACTAATAGTGACTTGATCCATGTGGAAACAGATTGGAGGATGCTCATGTCCACCACACTATAGTAACCGAGGGGAGAAGAAACTCGCCTCATGAATTTTTCCTTGAACCCAATTTTCCCTTTTCCCCACCAACTAACAAGCAAATTACATTTTGGGTATGATTGTACGAAGTCAAAGGAAGCAGAACTATCTGTCTCGGATAGTAGAAATACTACTGTTGTTATTGCTTCTGGTTGTAGTATCTGGAAGAATAAAGGTTTTGGAAAGCAGCTGATCTTCAAAAATTTGATCACTTTCGGAATATTAAGTAGGCACATAAGCAATAAAAATTATGGCTTTTCCTTTCTGAAACACTCAAACATGGCTAGGTTGTGACCTTCTGGCTGAGGTTGTTATCTTAAAGCTTAGTCTGTGGCACTATTGATTTATTTTTAAAGATAAAATTATTTTTATAAAGGAAGCAGGAACAGCAAAATACATAGAAAAATTTTCTGCAGAGTACTGAAGAAGTACAACAGAAACCAGTCCAATTACACCTTTGCCACCAGAATCTGCAAGGGCTTTTCCTGGCAGTCAAGTGACTTAGAGGCTTGTTAGCATCTCTTTCTTTGTTGCCCCGGATAAACTTGTCATCGTTGCTTTTCTCAGAGGCTGAAAAATCAGGTCAAATAGAAGCAATTCAGTATTTGAAGAGCAGCAGTTTATTAAGCAGCTGACAGTGCTGGGCTTGAAGGAGAAGTGACTTGCGGTGGCTGTTTTCTGCCTCCTTCCATCCTGCCCAGTTTCAGTGCGAGTCTGCTGCCACGGCCAGATCCTGAGGAAGGGACGAGTGTCCTGTGCCCTCGCCAGGACTGATGGAGCTCACTTTCTGTGGGATCTCTGTAGCTATTTTTTCAGAGCATCTGGCATAGATTCCGTCAATTTAAGATGTTAGCCCAAGTAACCCTTTCTTAACCTCTCGCGTGAACTTCTCTTTTATTCCCAGGGGAGGTAAATTGTTAAGTCCTTGTGGGCGTTCTGTGTAGCCGCGGAGGGTCAGCCATATGGTGTTGCATCTGCTCTCACTTCTGAAAGGGAACTAATTCTTCGTGCGTTTGGTTCTTACTGGCTCTTTGGGTTTTGTTGTTACCGTTTAATGCCATGGGAAAATAGAGCTTCCCATGCCGAGCTCCGTTCATTTTTGATAAAGCATTCTAGGTTCGTTAGCATTATTTTTAAAGCCTTACTATAATTAAAGATTTGCTTTTTCAGTGTCTCAGTATTGCTCTGAAAATCATGGTGTAAATATTTTTTTTATTAGGATTAAGAACAGTCAAATTCTAAAACTAAAAATAGTTTGGTGTTTAAAGTAATCAAAAGTAATCAGTGATCTTCACTGTCATGTTACTTCAGCATTTTGTGTCCTTTCTATGCTAACTGAATTTCTTGGCACTGACTTCTTGCCTGCGATGAACAGTATATTCTAATATTGAACAGAAGAATTACCGCGTTATTCCTGTAAGGCCATGTGAGTGTATTATGCAGAGCATTTCTTAATGGGTGATCTCTGTAGACATGTAATTCCTGGGATAACATGATAATTAAATATCCCTTGCTTATCCCATTAACCCAGGGCAAAGTCAGTATGCTAGAGCCAGACGAATGCAAAGCTACTCTGCTGTTCCTGGGCTCCAGCTAGGGTTTGTTTTTTTTTTTTTTTCCCCCCTCATCAGTGCTAACATTTGTTCCAAGCAGTGCACTGTTTGATGGTGGGTCTTCTGGAGGTCTTTCCCCCAGCCAAGTCTATTGAACAGTCTCCCGCTCGGGGTTTAAATCATCATGAAATTGCTGTGGACCTCTTTTTAAAGATAGTCTGAAAGGAGAAAGTTTTATGGACATGGTTTTGAGTGTATTTCAAACAGATGTAGTTAAACCTGTTGAAGCAGACTATGTAGCTCCTCTTTCTTTGGGACCGTGGCTGGTTTATTTGGTTTAGCGAGGCTAAATAGCTTAAAGGAAAATAAGCTCATTTTTTATATGGAGATGAATGTCTGCATAGCTCTTTGTGCTGGTTAGACTCTATCACCTTTAATAATATCTAGTATTATTAAATAACATATTAATAGATATTTCTAATGCTTACATTCTTGGGTTCTTCTTTTTTCTCTTTTGAAGTTTAATCTCTTGTTTCCAGATTAGTCTTTGTCGGTGCTCGTCTCCATCTTTCTCAAAGGTTTCTCCCCACCACTGTACCAGCCTTCCTGCTTAGGATCTTGCTGGTTTTGCTGGCTATGGCCCGTCCTGCGGTGTCTCCACCTGGACTGTGTGCTCCTTATATACCCCTGGTAGCATGTGGAGCCCTCCCAGCCCCTTTTCTGGAATAAGGTCGTGCACTGTATTCTTCCTGAGTTATTGAATGCACTTGTCACGTAAGCCTGTTTAAAGTCCTGACGCTGGGATGAGGGGGTGTATGTGTTTTGTTTCAGAAATACGGAACTAACCTTTCCTTTAGAACCTTGAGAGTGAATGAAAAACCTTGTTCTTCTGGCTGAAGATAGGTTTGCTTTCCTGGTTCTAATGTTGTTCTAGATCTCTGACAATGTGTTGGAAAACGTATTGATGAAATTGTCTTGTATCTTTGAACACACAACTGAGAATCGCAGTAGCTGGAAAGCGGGTAGTTCTGTAAACAGGAACAGGTAAGATGCACTGGGGATGGTGCATTTGCTGCAGCAATTGAAATCATGAGCATCAAGTCCTGTGTACAACTGCAGGCTGTTGAGAATCTGCCAAAATGTTTAGCTTACTGTGCAAGACTCATGTAATGGCTTGTTGGTTCTTTTCGGTTGTAGGTGTTTCGGTTATGTACCGTGTAAAATGGCCAAGCTGTTACTGCAGGCATCTGCTGCCTTTGTTTACCCGTCTTACTTATCATATATGTCTTGAACTAAAACCCAGAGAAAGGTTAATAAAATGAAGTCTGCCTTTGCTTGCATCTTTCACCAGAACTGACTATTCCTTCTGATCCCCAGGCTTGACAGGGGACCAGCGAACTTACCATGGGAAGGAGAATGTGGACTCCAGGCACAACCGAGGGAGAGGAGGAGAGACAACCCGCTTCCACACTGTCAATGTGGCACAGCCTGTCCGCTTTAGCAGTAAGTTGCAGACTGGGAAATCTGGGACATCTTCCTGATAATTAATTTAGCAATTGAGGCTATTTTTTTTTAGAAGAAATGAATAGATTTTTTTCTTGCATAGCTTTTTGACCAGTTTTTTTAAGGTTTTTGTACGCTTCTTTTATATATGTCTTGTTATGTTGCATAGTTAGACAATACAGGTGAAGACTTCTTGGTTCCCTTTGTGCTCCAGAGATCGTCCAGTGATTTGGGAATGTGACACAGCACTGATGAGCATCGGAGGGAGGGATGGGACAGGTTAGGAAGAGGACATGGGGGAAGACAGTATGGCAGTAATTGGGAACAATTGCCTTGGACTATGATGATCTCCTGAAAAAGACAAGTGGTTAGCAAAAGTAAAAATTCACCTCGTCACAGAATTTTATTTTTTTTCAGGACAGAAATACTTATTAAAATAGGTATTTTGAGTTGTCATGGATTTTGGTAGCTGAATTATGTTGGTAAAATTTATAGAGGGCAATAAAGTAGTTTAGAAATTGATACAGGAATATCTAATATGCTCTACAGTCTGGTGCTGTATTCCGGCCTTAGTGATGTGAACAGTAGATCTTGAAAAATCCCGTATAAATGGAGAATAAAGAAAGATATTTAAAGGGCTTTGAATGTGAGTTTGTATATCACTATGTGATAATCACTGTTTCTGAAGGGAATAAAGAGGCTTGAGAAGAGGAACTCAGTGAATGCATGCAACGAACATAAAACAGTTTGTGAATTTAAAGTTCCTTTTCTTGGGTGTTTTGAAAAATAATACTGCAAATGCAGATGCTAAAATCATATTTCATATCTGTTTTAATTCCACGTGCCTGTCTCTGTGATTCTCTCTATTACCCATCACCCCCAAGAATGCCAGTCAAAAGCCCATGGGCCTGTTTCATCCAGAAGTGCCTCGAGGCTTTTGTTGCATATTCCCTCAGTTGAGTTAATTGAGAGAAAGCAGAGACAGCAGTTCACACCCTCACCTTCTTCCTAAAGATCTACTTTGCAGTGATGTTTTTCCGAAACAAACAACAGTTGCCCTAGAACTCCCGTTGTCTTTAGTGATTGACTGTGGGAGCAGGATTGTGGGAGTACTACTGAGACTGTTTGTAAAAGTAGGTTGAAAACGTCACAGCAAATTGGATGTATTGCTAACCACCTAGTAGAAAGACAGAATCATTAAATTGGCCACCTCTGTTGTGTTCTTTCTGCTTCTTGCTGCTTGTTTTGACTTGGATTGATCGAACTGATTGGATTTATAAAGATGTTCAGGGAAATATCTTCTGCAGTAGATCATCGGCCTTAATTAAAGACTTTAAAGGCTGTCACAGTGCAATGAAACATTACGAAGAGTTGCATCTTTTAAAGTACATTTTAAAAAATTTCCTTTATTAAAAGCTATAGTAAAGTAAGTCTTCTGTGATCTGTAATGCACGCGTCTCCTCCTGGTGAGGTGAAGCATGCACAGTATGTTGTGTGTACGTATTTGAGCGATTATGCATTGTGTTGTCATAAACTGGTTAGGCTGCGTTATCTTGAAGATCCTAATTTGGGGGGAACGGTTTCCCTTCTATTCTTCATGTTTCCTAGGAAAGTGCCCAACAGGATGGCACCACTATGAGGGCACAGCCAGCTGCTACAGGGTGTATTTAAATGGGGAGAACTACTGGGACGCTGTGCAGACATGTCAGCGGGTGAACGGGTCCCTCGCCACCTTCACTGCAGACCAGGAGCTGAGGTTTATCCTGGCACAGGAGTGGGACTTGGAAGAAAAAACGTTTGTAAGGAAGGACCAGCGTAGGTGAGTAGAAAGGAAAGCACAAAGATCTCATATTACATGAGAATGGTTTCTGTGTGATACAAATGCTGGTAGTTCAGTTTGCTTAGAAAATGTAATGGTGAAATAGACTTCAGGCTAAAACCCCGGTATGGGACTGCGGGTTGACTGGCAGTGGCCATCTGTATTTTTTGTTTTAATTAACATCAGCAGATAGACTACAATTCAGCAGTCTTTTTATCTTCAGGCTGTCTCAGCAACATACTAGTATTCTTGAATTTTTCAACTGAATTTTTAAATTTTTCAACAGAATTTTTGTTTCCATGAAGCACAAGTAGCCCTAACAAAGACTGCAAGTTTGAGATAAGAATGAAGTAAAAAGACATTTTGGGTTGCAAGAACTATGTTCTGCTGGCTTTAGATATTTCATTCTGTTAGCTCCCAACAAACACAATTCCTTTTTTTTGTCTGTGGGTTTTTTGTCCACCTCATGGGCTGCTGTGGCAGATCACCAGGAGTGGTTCGGTAATGGTGTGTCTCTGCCTCTGGAGGGTTAGGTGGTTTGATCTGGAACAGTCTGACTTAAGTTGTGTATGTTTAAAAAATATCTGACTTCTGGATGCTGTTTAGTGGTTTTTGGGTTTGAGATACTCAAGTGCTGCCTTAACAACAGAGTAAGATGCTTATTATGAGTAGAAATAAGACATAGCAAGTTATCATTTGTAAACACAGAAAACTATCAAGTATTTTCCTCTATTCCTCAACTGTAATCTCCCTGCATTTCCATTGTATGAGCTGAAATGTCAAGGAAACAATCACCAGAATGTTTGGAAGTTAGCTTTTAAGTATGAAGACATCGGAAGGTTTTGTGTAATTTATTTTAATTCGTTAGTATGTTTTTGGCTTGTACCTTTACAATCTTTTTTTTTTTTTTTTGTAGGTTCTGGGTTGGATATCAGTATGTGATCACCAATCGAAATCACTCTCTAGAAGGTCACTGGGAAGTAGCGTACAAAGGTAGGCCTCTCAAATTATTTCTTAGTTAAATGGCCCCTGGAAGCTGTCTCAAAGCACGAATATTATTTTCAAGAACAACATAACTTCTTTCAGTGATAGTGTTGAAATGGTGCAGGGGAGCTGCTTTGCTTTAGAGTGTCAAAGCAGAAGACTTTAGTATTCGATACACATGTCTGTCTGATGTCTTGAGGAGGGAACATGTTTTTCAGTTTATTTGGGCTTTCCTCTTGATTAAGCTGAGAAAAAGGAAACAGTGCTGTAGTTTCTCGTTCTTTGTGGTGAATGGCTAGATGAACTGCTGATTCCTGATTCTAGGATTTGCACAGACTAGTGTAGGATATTTGAGGGTTTTAGCTTTTGACAAATTGGTAGGTTTTTTAATACTTAAAATCTTGAATTTTTCATAATGATCCATATTTTTTTTCATTTTAAAGTACTTCAGATAGTTTACTTAAGACAAAATTTGCCTAATCCCAGATATAAATCCCAGTTTATATGAAAAACTGAATGTTAATCCGATAGGCATCACTGGCTGAACTTTTTCAGTCGCAAAACAAGCAGCTCCCTCTGCTGAAAATGCAAAGTTAGGTTTCTATACCTTTTATTTTTAACTAATTCAGGTGAGGGATTAATCTTAAAGTAATTATGTGAACTCTTCTGTGTAGAATTGAATGTCTAGATGCTGTAGTGGTTTAGGTAATGGAAAACTTAAAACAAAGGGGGTTTTTTAAGCATTAACACTGTGAATTCCAGTGTAGCATTTGAAAACTAATCTTAATAGTTTCCTTCTCACATAACATTTTCAGTAATGGAAAATCTGGAAGGAAGACTGCCCATTAGGTACAGATACATAATTATAAGCAGAATTTTGCTGAACAGTTGAGTCTTGATTTGACACATGAGAAGTAGCAGAACCCTGCATAGCTTTCTAATGACAGTACGTGTTTACTGTGTGGCCATGCACAAAAATATTGATTTCTATTGTCATTTAAGTGAACAGTGTTGACTGAATATTCAGAGGCAACTGCTCTGTCTCTTGGAGGCAGGAACATTTTCATTAGTTCCTTAAAGTAAAGCGCCTAAAGGTGTCTTTGGACAGCAGGGGAAGGGGAGGGAGGAAGATTCCTGTTTTTGTCATCACAGGGATTTCTATCTGGACAAAACTGTTTATACAGGTAGGTTTCTCCTGTGCAGCCCAAGAAAAAAACAAACATTCTCCTTAAAAGGACCTTTCTTTGCTTTTGGAATGTTGACTGCACTGCCACCTGCTGACAGAGTGTTTACAGCCAGGGAGGCATAAATTATAGAAAAATCATGATACCTGCTTTTGTTGTAAATTTTATTTAATTTGATGTGTTATATAAATGTAAGCCTTCTTGATGCCATATTCTTTTGTTTGCAAGCTTTGTATTTAATAAAGGGATACCTATATGACATGAAGTACATAATAGCATTCGGTAGCTTCTGAAAAACTTTACTTAAGCTTCATTGACTTGTAATGAGGCAGACTCTGAATCCCTAGTGTCTGAACAATGATTTAGGGTCCTATGGCTTGGAAATTTTAATCCATTACTGGGAGGTGTGGAAGGTAAGCTCTCAAAAGCATTTCAAGCAGAACCTGGTTGCATTTTAAAAAATTAAACAAAAAACCATCATACATAACAGTGTTTGAAACAACCATCAACTTTGCATGCCAGCAGATTTAATGGTGAAGCAGGACACTGGTCAGAAACATCATTTTAAAAGTTATAAAATGCCCTCAACATCTCTTGCACTGTTTGGAACACGTCGCTATACAGTCTCCTAACAGTAATGTGAGTTGGAAGGACCCAATAGTCCAGACCACCGCTGCAGCAGCAGGAGCGGCGTTGCAGCCTCGTTCTGTGCATAGCGCTGCTTTGCACTCTGAAGGAGCGGCAAGAGACGTGTGGGAGCGGCTCTCCAGGGCGCTGCACAGGATCTTTGGAAGCACTAGTAGGTGCTTGTAGTACAAGATTGGTATGGGTTGTTGCCCCACGAGTAGCAACTGTGGCCAAAGTCAGCGTTGTTTGAAGGGATGCATAACTATTGTCAGGCAAACCCTGTGGGACTCTGGCAAGAGCACTCGTAGAGATATCAGAACATCACTCCTACTGGTGCAGAATGACAAAATTACCCAGTACTTTGAAAACAGCAGCCTCTTCTCTCTGAGTCACCCCTTCCCTCCCTGCTGTTTGCCTTTCCCTGGAGGAATGTTGCTAATGGAAGCTAAAGCCAGAGGACGGTAGCCTTGTAGCAGAGTTGGTGTGCATGAAATGAGCGACCTTACAGAACCTTTCTAAAGCTTTGCGTGCCCACAGGCTGCTAATACCAATGCATCTTGTTCTAGGCTCTTCAGAAGTATTTCTACCCCCTGACCCTATCTTCGGTACGGCTATGTCTGAAAATGAAAACGTTCTTTGTGCCCAGCTTCAGTGTTTCCATTTTCCTACCCTTCGGCACCATGGTTTACACAGCTGGTACGCTGAAAACTGCTATGAGAAATCTTCATTCCTCTGCAAAAGGAGTAAGTTGATTTTAGTCCAGTGTTAACTGCATTCCATGTTTAAATATGCATATAACAAATATGGGGAAATCGGGTAGTTATCCTTTCTACCTTTTGCCCAGTGAATTTAAATAAAGGAGGGAGGGAAGTTGAATTTCTGCTTGGTTTAAGTAAGAGCATCATAATATGTGGTTGTCAGTCACAGTACAGATTTTTGCTAAAAAAAGAATATTGTTGAGCAGCTGTATCAGCCCCAAAATAAAGTATACTTGGAAAAAAAAAGGTTTTTTTAAAAAAGTGCCTTATTAGTAAGTATCACTCTTAAGTTATTAACTTCACATGAAAATGAGGAAACATTTTTATGGTTTATTTTGAATATAGCAAACTCTGTTAAATTCTTTCCAGCCAATTATTAGAAAGGGCAGTGGGGTGAAGAGAAGCAAGTGGAGCTATTGAGTTAAAATGAAAAAAATGGCTTTCATTCTGTATCTTGTATTTCTTTACTCCAAAAGGCCTTATACCAACAGAAGCATGGCAGTATTTTCAGGTAATATTTAAGGTATCTGATACAGACAGTACTTCTTCACAAAGAGGAGAAAAGGTGTCAAACTTTTGCTGCAGTTCTTGAAATTTTTCTAGTTTACTTTTCTTTAAAGCAGGAAAAAGACTTACAGAATGGCAAGGGAAGAAAACCCAGCCCTTCTTTGCCTGCTTTTGCACCTGAAATATTAGGAAGACAGGATATTGCCTTGTCTGCCTTGAGATCATAGAATCATTAAGGTTGGAAAAGAGCTCAAGGATCATCAAGTAATAAAATCTTGGAGTCTGATATTGAAGGACATGTGTTTAGTCAAGATGATGATCAAAACATGACCTTTTTGGTTGTCTTTTTGGGACAATGTTGTAAGGAAGGCGATAGCTCTGCCAAAACGTTAACCAGAGGGTGAGGGTGTCGGATGTGTAAGTTGAGCAGAAGAATGCTGTGTCCGATTTCAGGTCTCACAGTGCAAGAAAAATGTTGATAAGACCTTGACAAATTGAGGCGAGTTCAGTGGGGGCCAGCAAGAAGGTGATGTGGGCTGGAGCGCCTGTCCTTGGAGGTGAGGCAGTGGGAACGGGGCTGGAGAAAGGAAGGCTTCCAGGGGACCCGAGAGCAGCCTGTCAGTACTTAAAAGGAGGTTATTGAGAAGATGGAGCCAGGCTCTTCACAGGGGTGCCTGGCAGGAGTCAAAGGATGTTAAGTTGAAACAAGAGGTTTGAATTGGTGTCAGGGAAAACTGTATAATCGTGAGGGTAGTCAAGAGTGGAACAGACTCCTAGGGTCATGCAGCCTCTATGCTGAGAGGTTTTTGTGACCAGATTAGATAAAACCCTGAGGAACCTGTTGGGACATCATAGCTGGCTCTGCTTTGAGCAGGAGATTGAGCTGGAGACCTCCTCAGGTCTCGTCCAGTCTGAACTTTCCTATGGACCCTCCCAGCTGTCCTGTGCGTGGGGTGGAGGGGTCAGGCCAGCCTCCCTGAGCAGTTGGTTCAGCTGGCAGGTCCCGGTGCTGTCAGTGTTCCCTCTCTCCGGTTTGGGTACCTGCCTTTAGGTCAGGGGGAGGAAAGGCCACTGTGGACAAAGACACCTGAGCTTCCTCTGCTGGGCAGGGATCAAGATGCAGCTAGGACAGTGGAAGTATTGTTGCCTGGCTTCCTTTTTCACGCCTGGCAGGTTCAGAGTGTCCTTCAGGTTTGGTCCAGAGAAGATCCAGCTTTTCCTAGGTACCAGGAGAGAGGGAGGGAGCTGCAGCAGGCATTGGCATTGAAGCTTGAACTTCTCAGACCAGCTGCTTTCCTGTGTCTTTGAGAGGATGCCTGAAAGTGTGTCAATTCCATTAAATACTTCCAACTCACTCTGTCAGTTTTGAGCAGTAAACCATCCCTGCGTGCCTCCAGGCTATCCATTATCTTCCCCACTCCTTGGAGATTCCTTTTCAAAGTTGCTGTAATGTGAAGGCGTGGCTTTTAACTGGTGGTCTGCTCACCTTTACGGATCACTTAATGTAACACAATAAACTGGCCTCCTGTCTGGCAGCTCCCAGGCACTTGGCTATTGATGTGTGTTTCTGTTCTAGGCCAGACTTGTGTTGATATCAAAGACAACATTGTCGATGAAGGCTACTACTTCACTCCAAAAGGGAATGATCCCTGTTTGAGCTGCACATGTCACAACGGTGAACCTGAAATGTGTGTGGCTGCTTTGTGTGAGCGACCCCAGGGGTGTCAGCAGTATCGCAAAGACCCCAAGGAGTGCTGCAAATTTACATGTTTAGACCCAGGTAAGAGTTGACTGCTACAGTTTTGTCAAAAAAAAATGAGCTCAGTGCTCAACTCGGTTATCTCTGGGTATAACTTTGTTTGAAATGATGCATCCTTTCAGTGCCTCGACGTTGCTGGTACAAGCCCCCTGTGGGGAAAGATCTCAAATCATGGGAAATGAAACACTTCAGACTGTGGTTGGAAATAATTAGTCATCCTTGATGCTGCTTATATAGGAGAAGCAGTAGCTTATTTTCTGTATGGAGGTTGAAACTACTGTGGATTTTTAGTAGAGCATCTTGCATAGTTCCTTTGTTGTGTTTAGTTGTCATGAAAAGAAAAGACTTTTGAGCACTACAAAAGCGTCTTTTTCTGGACATGGGCATTTATGTCTGTGGAAGTCTGCATGCAGGGATCATGTGAGAAGGAAAGCTTATAAATTATATGAAGTTTGAATAATAATTAGGATATGCAACCTTGCTGCCTGAATTTGGCATCTCGGTGCAGCTTCTTGTTTTGGATCAGTAAGGTCTTCAGTTGACTCTGACCGAACTGTTTGCCAGTCGCCATTTGGGGATGTAGATTTTTGGGGGGTGGGTATTTTTCTGTAAAGGGACTTCTGAAAAGAAATGTATCTTACTTGGAATTTACTGTGAGGGTGGTCAAATACTGCAGCAGGTTGATTGTGGAGTCTCAGTCTGTGGGGATATTCAATGCTCGATTGGACTCTGTCCTGAGCAACCTGCTCTAGCTGACACTGCTTGAGCAGGGGTTGGACTAGATGATCTCAGGACGTCCCTTTCAACCTCAACCATTCTGTGGTGCTGTTTTTTCCCTGGTATTTTAAAAGAACCTAATCTTACCTGAGTGCACGTAGAAACTGTTGTTCTGAACTCCTATGGAAAACACGAAGGTCCGCTCTTCCCATCAGAGGGTTCTTTGCAGCCTGCTACAAAAAGGGGTGTTATTTGCTTCCAAATTTGCAGTCTTTCTGATTTGCCTTAACTACAGAAGTTGATTGTTAAAAGCCACTGGCTCCTTCTTGTCGTTATTCACATTCATTCTGAGGGTTAAGCTTAACAGATGTTCACAGCTAGTGCTGCAGGTTGTTTGGTGAGGCGGGGTGGAAAGCAGGAGTCTTCCTTCCACTCTTATCAGCAGAGTTAAACCTTTGTCTTCCCTTTTTTTATCTTCAGGAACAGTGTCAGCAAAGCATCATCCAGCAGACAGGATAAGATGACCTGGGATAACCTCATGCCATGTTCTTTAATCCTTGCTTATTGCTGTGGGTCTTAACTATTCCATGAATACTGATTTGAAGAGTGTGTTTTACCACATCCTTTCTGATCCTTAAGCTCTCCTATCTGTACTGATACTAAATAAGACTGTCTCATTATACTCTAGCCTGAAGTGTTCTGGTTTTTTTAGTAACTTAGTTTTTGAGAGAAGAATCATCAAGCAGTTGTCAGACTTCCTTCATAATGAAGTTACTTCGGCTAGTGATAAACACTGAAATCTTTAAAGGAGGCATTTCAGTTTTCCTTCTGGGTGTTTATAAATGACTATTCCACGTGACAAAATTAATGAATTACTTTCTTTAATCAGCATGTATTTATCTTTGTCCAGTTCTTACATATATCTTCCTTCAGCTCTGTTGCAAATGAAGGAAAACAGTTTACTAATCACCAGTAAATAAATTAATCATCCAAGGAGAGACCGGGGGAAATAAATCCTGCTGTTGAGTTGGCAGGTAATCAGCTCTCGCAGTGTGAGTGGGTGAGCAGTGATTACAAATGGATAACGAATATTGCTCAAGGACTTGGTAGTAGGGGAATTTTTCAGTGGTGGGAGTAAGCTGAGCAATCACAGCTATACTCTCTTGAAAGATGCTTCTCCTCATTTAGTTGAAGATAAATAGCAGGGGAAAATATTTCATGTACTAATGCTGAAACCAAGGTAGTCTGTCTGTTGCCGCTCTATGGATGTGGTAGAAAATGATTTTTCTGTGGGGCTCATGTTTAGACAGACCTGCAACTCTTATTTGTGAAAAGGTAATAGAAAAAATAAAATACTTTGAAAGAGCTGATAGGGCAGAAGCTTTTCTAGCGACTAAACTGGCGCAGTTACAGGGTATTACTGCTGCATTGAGTGTCACACAGCCTTTCTGAAATAATTGGTTTGTATTTATGTTAGTTGGAAATCCCTGTGATGACTTGTTCTGTACAAGCTGAGGCTTTGTCTTTTTTTTAATCTAGGACATGACTCGACAATAGTTTATCTAGCCAGACAGGTGGAATGCTGGGAGCTCTCCCAGGCTGGGAGCAGTGTGACAGATGCCCCAGGAGATGCAAGGATGGCAGTTGTAGCTGGCCTGAGGAGAGTATGTGGAAGTCAGGCTTTCTGCCTACAAGATTCCATCGTGCTTGCCTGTGTGTATATTTCACTTAAGTCCCTTTATTTAAGGCAGTTACTAGCACTAATTTATGATGTTCCTGAAGTCAGCATTGCTTTAAAACGGAGGAGGAACAACAGCAGGTCTGTGGTGTTCGGGAGGGCGTGCTGGTTGGTAAGTGCGTGACTGCGTCAGTTTAGGCTCTGACAGTACAAGCTGCTGAAAGGTTTGACAGTACAGGGGCTTTTGTACTGCACAGCCAGATTGGAGAGGGTGTGATGTTCGAGCTCTATGCATAGCGCACTATTAAATGAATTTCTTGTTGCCAAGAACGCGTTACGTAATAAATACTAGCCTGTTAGCCTGTGCTTTAACGATGTATAAATTAGGCGGATTTTTCCTGTTACTAGCATTTGTAGCAAGTCAGTACTTGCCATTTTTGTGAGGCTTTTTGCTTTCTTTTGTGAGGAGTCTTTGATACAGTTGTAGTTGCTGTTAGTGAAAGGAGAAGTACTGAGACAGCTTTCGCAGCGGTGGTGGGTGTGGGAAAGGAGAGGGGCCAGGGTCTGGCTGGTGGCTCTGGGGAGCACAGAGGCACTGCGGTGGCTGGGGAGGGGGGCTCAGACCTGCTAGGGCTTGTGTCCTCTGGTGGTAGGTGACCAAGTTGTGCAGCCACTTCATCTGTTTCTTATTCCCACCTCACCTGGGCTCTTTAACAGGAAATTGGGGCGAAGAACACAGCACAAGAATTTTTAGGTAGTTTTTCTTTGTGCAGAGTATCTGTACGTGCGCGTGCTACTTAAACATAACCGAGTGTGATTAGCTGAAGAGTGAAAAATTACTACTCATGTCTGGCACTGGTAGAACAGTGATAATTTGCTCACAACAGCCTTCCAAGTACAGATCTGGTTAGCAAGGGTATAGAGCTCTCAAAGTGCTCAGCTCCTGGGTCTGCGTCATGTTCTGCCACCGGCTTTCTGTGTGATTCTAGGAAAATATTTAATTCCTGTTTACCCTAATCCCTTCAGTTCCTGGAAGATGATTAGCATGTTGATTCACCTTTTTAAGGTATTTTTAGTTCCTGTCACTTAATGGTGCTAACCGATGTACCAATGGCACATGGAGTTTAGATGACTGCATCTTGGTGATAATGACAATGTTTAGAGATTTTGTAGTTGGAAATGTAAAAGTTAAGATGTGCAGAAGTCACATAGCAATAGGGTGTAGATATGCTGGCTCTCAGGCCTTTCCCATGGCTTCCAGGCTTGCTGTCCTCTTTAGTATATCATCAGCCATGCCGGGGGGACAAGTGGATGTGCAAAATGCCGTTAACCTTTTCCTTTTTCCTGTTTTCAGAGACCCGAAGCCTTCAATGTTTTGTCCCTTTTGCTGATGACGACATTTTCAGAAATGTTTAGATCTTCTTGCAATAAGTAGATAAATCACCTGATGATTCGTAATGTTCTTACATTTTTGAAATATGGAGGAGTGTTAAACCAGGCTAATGAATCTCCACTCTGCATTTATCTTTCCATTACTGACAGAAGAACATCAAGAAAAATGAGTCTTGAACAAAAGTAACAGGCGGCTTTTATATGTTTTATGTAACAGATGGCAACAGTTTGTTTGACTCAATGGCCGGTGGAATGCGTCTGATTGTGAGCTGCATTTCCTCCTTCCTCATCCTCTCTCTGCTGCTTTTCATGGTCCACCGGCTGCGCCAGAGGCGGAGAGAGCGCATAGAGTCTCTGATTGGAGCAAACTGTAAGTAGCCTGTATCTCTAGTAGTGTGTGCGCTTCAGAATAAAGCGGAAGAAATAGAAATCTGGAGAACATCGGCGAAGTCTGGTTATAGATTGTAGTCGGTGCTGTACCCACATGTAGCTCTGCGCTGGCTGCCTGAACTGGTCATGACTTGTACAAGCTTTGGTTCTCTGAACCACTCCAAGTTCAAAGAAAAAAACTTTTGTATCAACACTTATCTTGTGCCTTGTGCTTATTATTGACAGACAGAGGTACATAAAGGTGAGAAATGTCATGGTTCTGTTTGGCTGTGCCTGTGTGGGTGTGTCTCGGTAGGTTCTTCAGACTTGAACTTTTTTAGCCAATAATGGAAAAATATTTTTTGTTTGTATGTGGTCCAAATCTGAAGTGTGTTCTGTGTGTGAATGATCTCCTTAGTTTGAAGAGGTTGGATTCAAATTTAGACGTGATGCAGGACAAACAGGCTGGGAGCAGGTGAGCCTGGTATTGTTGTGTAACTGCAGCGCGTTGACTTTTATAGGTTATGTAGACATTTTTAGGTCTTCAGGAGACCTGAGTTCCCTGGGTGTGAAAAGTCGAAAAAGCTGTTGAGATCAGCCTTAAATTGAAGAAGGCATGGGATAAAGTCACTTATTTCTTTTTCTTCTCTTGAAATAGTGCACCATTTTAACTTGGGCCGCAGGATGCCTGGTTTTGATTATGGTCCCGACGGTTTTGGAACTGGCCTTACTCCACTGCATCTTTCAGATGATGGGGAAGGTGGGGCGTTTCATTTCCATGATCCGCCTCCACCCTATACTGCTTACAAGTATCCAGATATTCAACATCCAGATGACCCACCTCCTCCTTATGAGGCTTCTGTCAATCCAGACAGCATCCTTTGTTCCCCTCCAGGTGACTTTTCTTCCTCTTTTTCATTTTGGCTAGGGGGTAGATTTTTTAAACTGTAATCATGTGTTTTAGTGATTGTGATGGGAAAATACGCTTCACAATAAAATCCTATTTCTCAGTGGAAAAATCTTCTGTTAAAAGCCTTAAGCGTGGCTTTTTCTCAAACATTTTTTGGATCACCTAAGTTACAAGTGGAATCCATGCTGCAAGCATTTTAACTCTGAGACCTCACCTGTTTTCAAGCCTTACCATGGATAAGTTACCTGGAAACTAGGACACCTGGTTACCTAGTTTCTGCTGTGCTGGTACCTTTTCTGGTCTTTTGGAAATAGGTCTGTAGAGATTGGTATTAAAGAGTAGAACAAATGTCAAGTACTAGAGACTTTAAAATATATCTAGCATCTTCTCTCCTCCCCACGTCTCCCACCCACACCCCCCCAAAAAATTGACCAAAAATACCACTTTCTAATGATTCACCCAGTGCTCTTCAGTTTTGCAGCTGTGATATTCACATACTGTAGAAATCATTCCCATTTTGGAATTTATAGCAGCATATCTCACCAGATAAGTGAGCCTGATTAGTGCAAGTATCTTATTAATGTATCAAAATTTTATTTTTGCTACATAGTTTTCCTCTTTTGCAGTGTCATCTCTTTGTGCATTAATGCAAAACCAGGAAAAAAATCAGAGCTTCCAGAAATACAGATAGTAAAGCTATTTGGGAATGTAAAATGTTATACTTCACGTTCTGATTCTTGTTTTTTGTCCTTTGCAGATGGAGTTCTTTCTCAGACTGTGCAGAGCAGTCCTCCATCACTAGGAAACTGTGATGTCTCCCCACAGCTTACAGAGGGATCGCTTCCTCCCTCAATTGGTCCTTCTCCAGTGGAGCTGGAAGACTCTGCTGACAGCAGCACCTTTCTTGTCCCTCCTGACACACCGCTAAATGAAAACGCACCGGCAGAAACTCTTTCGGGCAGCCGTCACAGCCACTGTTCTCTCAATACCATTGTATAAAGGAGTAAAAAGCCGACTGATGGTCAGAAATAGTTTTAGCAACTGTTTGCACAGACAAACACTAATCCGTGGTTTGAACTTGAGAAGGAATCTCCACTTTGTTTTTTGAACACTGCTTTTATGTTCTAGATTAGGATTGTGCCTCTCGTTTTTTGGCTGTCGTTATTCATTCACTAATTGGTTTGTCCTGTAAATATGGATTGTATAACTGCTCCTTTTTTCCATTGGCTATGGAAAAGAGCGCAGAGGATTCCTTTGACTTCTAAGGAGGTGAAAAATATGGGTAGGTTTTTTTTTTTTTTCTTAACCTGAGAGGAAACAAAATCTACATCAGAAGAAAGCTGCTTGGATTTGGCTGGATACCACTGGACCCGGGAAACAGATGATGGAAAAGGAGGGTGGGGGTAGTCACCGTTCAATCAATTGCTTTCTCTCTTGCTTCAGTGCTACGCTTGGAAAAGGCAGAGAAGACGGAACTGCAGGGGAAGGGGCTGGGGACCTGTTTTACAGAGTGGGAACAGAGGAGCTAAAACACATGCCACCAAATAAGAGTTGCATGGTATAAAGCACTTGTGTGTTGTGATCTGCCTCGCTGTCTCAGAACACCTTGGGGACTGGAGGATGAATGATCTACACAATACGTGACAATTGGGTATGAAGAAAGCTAGGACTTGCAGTTACAGTTATTTGTTGGTGGAGCTACAAAATCTCATATTGTTGGGTAAACTACTGGCCCATGAAGAAAATGGTCTTTGTGTAACACTTGTGTCTCTTTGGTAGAATCCTCCTATGTGCTAGGTGGTACTTTAAGGAAGAGATGGGGAGCAATTAACTTTGATGCAGTCTGACCTCCTAATATGAAGCCCCTGTTTGTTATAGTCCCATAAGGAAGACTGAGGTATTTTCTTCATAGTTTAACTCCTTTACAGTGATCAGTTGCCCAAGACTGGCCTGGATAAAAGACCATTGTTCTTGATTTTACCTTATTGCATGCTAGATTTAGCATGTGTGTTCCCTCCCCTTCATTTAACTTCTTTACAGTTCTACAAGTACCGTTTAAAAGCAGTGATCAGTATGCACTGTATGTGATGTTTAATTCTAATCGGACACTTATTCCTTATCCGAGTCCCATAAATTGCCAACCCTATTCTAGGGATTTCCCCTGTGCCCCCCAAACCTTTTATCCAGGTCCCACAAGGGGTTATAGTGAGGTTAGTGTACTTCAGTCAGTAGGGCAGTTTGCTTCAGTCTGATATGTCATCTTAAATTTCCCCCTCAGATTTAACTCCTTAAACTAAGTTCATTTACAGATGGCAAAACAATTCATTCACTCCCTCACTAAACCTGAAGCCAAGCACCGCTGGTTTTGATAATGAGTGCAAAATAATCTTTACAAGTGATTTTAAGTTTGGATTTCAGTGTACACGTAATTTCGCCTTTCCCCCCATCCTCCTCTTGCCTCTGCTTCTCCTTGACTTGCTGTAGCAGTCAGCAGATGAGGTGTATCAGGAATTTGTAAAGAATGCCCTGCGCAAGCATTCTCCTGTTACCTTATGAAGGGTGCACACCTAGAGGGACAGGAAGAAACACTGCGCGGGGGGGGTGTGTGTGATCTATTTTTCTAGTAACGATGAGAAATCATGCTTGTGTGACAAATCCTAGCCCAGCGTTGTGGTTTCCCAGTGCAGCTGCCTCTTTCCCCATGGAATATGCTGCTACTTTCTATTCTGTGTATTGCCTATAGGCTTATACTGTACTTGGGGATTGGTCTTGACAATTCAGCTCCTTTTGCACGGAAAACTCTGAATTTCGTGATTGAGATCATATCTGGTGTCTTGACAGTCAGACACTTGCTAAGAAGCTTGAATCCATCGGAGAGCGTGAATCACAGTTCTGGGGCGCGCTGCTGGCACGCGGATGGGAGGAAGCGCTGTTAGAAGCCTCTCTGCCTGGAGCCGCTCCACCGCCCGCGTCCTGCTCGCTGGTTTGACTGGCTCTGGCAGCACTGGTACGAAACGAGAGGAGCAATTCTCCACCCTGTGGGATCTCTTACCATCTCCTCCTCCGAGTTCAAGTCCTGGTCTAATGAAGTGGATGGATAGCAGTAGTCAGAACCATGCGTACAAATTACTGAGCATTTCTGAAGTATGAAAATAAAGCGGGTTTTGTGCATTTTTGAGCACATTCATACGTTTTATACATTGTATGTACTGATTTTTCTTTAGTTTTATAGGTACGAATGCGTGTGTGCGTGTGTGTGTTTCTGGGTGGCGAGATATATATAAATATATATATACATACTGTAGACGGTACCCTTCGTGCTGCGTCCAGCTAGGTGAAGCTCAGCACGGGGACGTGAACTAGGCTCTTAGGGTTAATACTTCTCTCGAGCTGGCTGTGTTCTGTTGTGGGACAGGCTGTGATAGTGTACGTGGTAGGATGCAAAGTCTATGCTACTACAGCCTGTTCCTGAAAAATATTTTGTTAGCAGTGCAAAATAGCAACCTTCCCATTTCTTTTGAAGCCAGATGGAATATTTGTCCTTTGTAGTATCCTAGCGCAATAACAAAAGGCCTTTTGGCTTGGTTTAGTCTCTGAAGCTGTGTTCTGTGGCTGAGGTGAACAGATACCTTACCTCACACTTCTCCTAACACTGCGGGAATCTGTTCGATATATTTTTTTTTTAATTTTACTTTTGGTTCTGTGGTGAATTTTATTTGAAAATAAGCTCTGTTACAACTGGCAACTTCATGGTGGCTCCTGGTTGTAGCTGTTCCAAATGTAAGCTTCTCTGCAGAAGCCTCGGTGCGGTATTTCCCAGTTGCTTCTGAGCCTTTCCACTTGGGTATTGGCACGGAGGCTGCTTCTCTCTCCTCTCCCCTGTCCTCCTTCATCTTAACTGTAAACAAGGGAAGTTCTGCCTTGAACAGAGCAGCTCCCTGAGCACAGCTCATTTACCTCTCGGTGAGCTTCTAATTTGGCAATAAAATAATCATTTTTTTCCCTTTTTAATGTGGCTTTTTCACATTGCGTACTTTCCCTTGGAGTGAGAGCCTTTGCAGCAGAAAGCACCACGACTGCTCAGACTTCTGGACCAACTGGGCAGAGTTAAGCTTTCCTGACAGCAGCTGGCTCCTCCGCACACCTGCCTGGCCCTTGGCGAGGTACCTGGTGAGCAGTTCATCCTGAGCACCGATTACAGAGGGCTGATCGTGCCTGAGGAAGACCTTTCTCTTTCAATTGCCATTAGATTGGTGAAATCTTTGGAGTTATTTTGTGCGTTGTTTTTCCCGCCAGCGTTCACTTCTCTGGATGTTTTTCTTAACTCCTGATGCACCCCAAACGTCCCTCCAGCCCCGGCGGGGAAGGTGACGTTGCCACGTCGTTCCGTGTGAGCACAGACTGCGTTTCTCCTGGGGTGTCTCTGATGCAGTTGTCATGAAGTCGCAGCACTCGGCTCTGTGCAGGGCTCGCACCTCCCGTTTGCCCTGGGGTTCCCCTTCCTGTGACGCACTGTGGTGCCATAGCGAGGTCTCTGCTGTTCTGTCGAGAACAATGCTGGATACTCGCTTCTGCCGTGACACCGGTGATACCCGTACGCAGTCTCACAGCAGCCTCTGATTTTTTTACGAGGTGAGTTGTAGAGTATCGTACCGTTAGAAGGCTGGTGGGTTTCATTCTGTGCTAGATCAGAACTGTCATTCGGATGTACAAAGAGCTTGTCTGCGTAATGTTCAGTCGTGTCTAGTTTTGAGCCTCAGACTCTTCCTTCACCCATTCATGGCAGGACATTGATCTGGAAGGATGGTGAAGTAGGTGGAACACTTTTCCTGAAGGCTTCATCTTGCAGTGGGTGGTGCTCTGCCTGCACAGGTGCCCTGGGGTGATGGCCTGCTCACGTGTCTTGAGTTTCACTTGGGAAGAAAATGCTTTTGTGGCCAGTAATTACTGTTCTTTTCCCATCTAATGTTAAACAAATTTGAAGCTGTCTTTAAAGATGTGTTCGTCTTTCACATGTGGCTTTTCAGTGGCAAAGCACTGAAGTTTTAATGTTGCCTCACACAACCTGTAAAATGCGACTTCTTTTTTTTTTTTCAGTTGCTGAAACATGTTTTTTCTCCCTAGCTAAGCAACATGCAATATACAGAAATGTCTTTTAAATTTCCCTTGCAACTTGGGAGCTGGACCCTAAAATTAGAGCAGATGAGTGTAGAGGAGGCAAATCGAAGTTCATACATTTTGCTTCTGACCCTCCCCAATTCCAAATGAAATACACGTTTCTTTGGAATAGACACTTTCGGCAGTAAAGATCTGCTTCCCCTACCCACCGCCTGCATTGCCTGCCTGCTGCGGGACGACATAGCTTTAATTTTCCAGTGTTGTGCACCTTGAGCGCTGAGTGGGTTGGAGTCGATGCTGGCAGGCTGCGTGCGTGGCCGTCGGGCTGGCGGGTGCCTGGGGGGCTGCGAGAGAGAATGAGACACTCGCTGCTTTTTACCTTCTCCTGGAAAATAATTTTAGCCAACGCTGCATTTGCAGGCTTCTCCTGTGTAGCTGGTTTGTGACTGGACTTAACTGTGGCAGTGTATAAAAGATTTTGATATCCTGTGAAATACCATGTAGAATTTAAATTTGATACTATAAGAATTCAGTCCCTGTGACACTGGTTTTTTGTTTTAACTTCTTTCTTTGGGGTTGGCACTAATCTTTCTTTCTTTTTTCTCAAGATGCTGTGAGAAACATTTCATCCAAATGCCAAATAAATTGTGTTCTGTAAGAGCAGTGGCCTGTTAGGTGTCTCCTGATTTTGATGTGGTTCCCGGCGCTGCACAGGAAGGTCTTGTTAAATCACACTCGTGATCTCCCAGGAAGATGAACAGGGGGGTTTAACTTCAAGCAGGGAGGCTGCTGAAGTCCCTTTGTGTACAAATTCCAATGGACTTTACCTGAATTAGTATAATTTTTAGGAAAATCTTGGTTTTATGCCCAAGAAGGTGAAGAGCAGCCTGTTCCCGCTGCCCTCCCTGAAGGTGCTGAGCCCCCAGCAGGAGGGTCGGGTGGTTGTGTTGGGTGGCAGGGGGTGGCGGGACCCCCAGCTCCTGGTGCGGGGCCGCAGGACCCTGGGGAATGAACTGAGTGGGTCACTGATCCTGCCAGGAGCTGGTGGGAAATCAGAGGGGGACGGTGTTAGCCCTGAGCCGTGCTGCCGCCATGCACCCAGCGGGACTGGGGCGGCTGCTGGAAGAGTCTGACAGAGGGCTGGCTGTGCTGACCTCTTCAGCTTTTCCAAAATCTGAGCACCGAACTTTTCATCCAATTCCCAAAGGAAGGTTTTGGGTACCTCCCCCCTTTCCCTGGCTGGAGGGGGGCCCCGGGGTGACCCTGCGGTGGGTGGAGAGCTCTG